GCTCAGGGAATAACATACACACTCAGTTTAGTACAGAAATTTATCTTATCCTATAGAGAGATAGAAGGGGAACAGGGAAAGAAAAGGGAAGGAGGGGCTGACAGAAGGGAGGGCAAGTTGAGGGAGATGGTGATCAGAAGCAAAATACTGGTGAGGAGGGACAGGGTGAAAAGAGAGAGAAAAGTACAATGGGGGGAAAAGGACAGAAGGAAATACACAGTAAGCATAACTGAATGTGAATGGAATGAAGTCTCCCATAAAATGCATGGGGAGAGCAGAGTGGATTAAAACCAGAATCCTACAATATGTTGTTTAGAAGGAACACATTTTAAGCAGAGAAATACACACACAGTAAAGGTAAAAGGCTGGAGCAGAATATATTATGCTTCAGACGAAGTAAAAACACTAGAGAGCATAGGAATAAATGGAGTTTTCTTTAAAATGATAAGTAATATCTAACTAAAACCATCAGCAAGCATTACATGTAATGGGGATAAGCTAAAAGCTTTCCCAACAAGATGAGAGGTGAAACAAGGAGGCCCATTATCCCCACTATTATTAAATATTGTGCTAGAAATGTTAGCTTTAGCAATAAGAAAAAGAAATTGAAGGAATTAGAATAGACAATGAAGCAATAAAACTATCACTCTGCAGAGGATATGATGGTATACTCGAGAATCCTAGAGAATCAAGTAAAAAACTATTTGAAATGATTAACAACTTTAACAAAGTTACAGGATATAAAATAAGCCCACATAAATCATCAGTATTCCTATATATTACCAACAAAGCCCAGCAGCAAGAGATATCAAAATAACTGTAGACAATATAAAATATTTGGGAGTTTACCTGCCAAGATAAACCCAAGAGCTATATGAACACAATTACAAAATACTTTTCACACAAAGTTAGATCTAAACAATTGGAAAAATAACAATTGCTTATGGGTAGGTTGAGCTAATATAATAAAAATGACGGTTCTACCTAAACTAATTGTGCCATATCAAAACTACCAAAAAATTATTTTAATAGAGCTAGAAAAAATTATAACAAAACTCATCTGGAAGAACAAAAGATCAATAATATCAAGGAAATTAATGAGAAAAAAATGCAAGGGAAGGTGGCCTAGCTGTACCAGATCTAAAACTATATTATATATCAGCAATCATCAAAATTATTTGGTACTGGCTAAGAAATAGAGTGCTGGATCAGGTTAGCTATAGGTTAGCTATACAAGACACAGTAGTAAACGGACTACAGAAATTTGTTTGATAAACCCAGAGATTCCAGCTTTTGGGTTAAGAACTCACTATTTGACAAAAACCTACCTCTCTTAGTGTCCTAGGCAACTCTCTAAGCCTCAAAATTTCTGGTCCACAATAACAGAAAGTTTCCTCACCTGGGAGTTCCTTGTACCACTGAGATCACCAGTCCAGTCCTTATTTAACAAAGGAAACTCATCCAACACCTTTGTTTTACATGAGGGAAAAGGGGAAATTACTGGACCAAACTCAGCACAACTTATTGGGGAAAAAAACACCGACCATTAAGGCCAAAGATTTGCTTCCACCCAGCAGCACAAAGCTGTAATTAACTTTTTGTTCAATCAAATTTAATGTGCCTCAGTTTACTACAAAAGGGAAATCATAATACCTGTGCTATATACACTTCTCAGTGTTATGGAGAAGATAAAATGGGTGACATATATTAAGGTGCCCTGCAACTGTAACCCACAATACAATCCAAGCTTCCAGAGAATCAGACTGAAGTAGGCTGCAAGGGTTCTACTCCCCTCTGCTACTATTTACACAAACAAGAGAAATGTGTATGTAGATTAAATAAAACAGAGGATTCATGACCACAGAATGTCTGCAATTTCTGGTAGGCCAAAAGACACTAGTACAAGGTATTTAGCAACAGTAAGAAAGACATTCAGCACGTTAAGAGCTGGCAGAGAAGACAGAGTGAACCACCTCCATGCTTCCCAAGTGCAGTTTTATTTCTTCTCTACACAGCATTACAGAGCCACCAGCTGCAAGAAACAAGGCCACAAAGCAGTAAACAAGCCGTTCCCTTCATGAAGATTCAGCACAGTGGTCATCTTGAAGCCCACATCCCCTTCTCTGTGCAGGCCACCTTGCTACTAGGCTTTACTTTGATACACTGTAGTTAACGGTCACCTTTAATTTATTAGCATGAAAAATTAGTGAAGGACCAACAAAAAAGACCAAGGCAACTGAAAATGTGCCATCTCAAGTTATATACAAAGCAGTAACCAAAACTATTTAGTAGTGCTTAAAAAATAAAAAGGTGCTTAATCAAATAGATTAGATAAACAAGGCCAATAAGCAATCATAACAGCAGTGTGAGAGAAATTAGGTTTAGAACAATTTCTTAAAACCATATATCACCAAAAATTCCAAAATACATGCCATAAATATAGTCATGTCATTTTTTAAAATTTTTTAACAGGTACTTTTCCTAATAACTATGGCAAAAGAGAGAATTCTGAACAATGAATAGAGATTATTAGTAGATAAACAAAAATTGAAAAGCTTTTACAAATAAGCAACATCATTGCAAAGAATTAGAAGAGTAATTAAGAGGGGTGGCTAGGTGGTGCAGAGGACAGAGCACGACCACTGGAGTCAGGAGGACCTAAAGTCAAATTTCACCTCAGACACTTGACTCTTACTAGCTACGTGACCCTGGACAAGTCACTTAACCCAGTGGCATCACAAAGAAAAAAATAACTGCCATAGATTTCCTTATATCAAGAGCTATTCTCCCATAATAAGTGCTAAAAGGATATAAACAACCAGTTCTCAAAGAAATGCAATCATTAATAACCATATGAAACAATACTCGAAATCACTAATAAGAGAAACACAAATTTAAGTAACTGAGGTTGTACTTCATATCAATAGTACCTCATATCAAACAGGTGCAGATGACAAACAAGGAAGATGTCAACTGTTGAACAAGGCCACAGACAGGCATACTAACAGGCAGCCCCAGTTGAGGGAGGTGTGAAAACAATTCTGGAAAGCAATTTAGAACCACACTCACAAAAATCACTCCATTGACCCAGTAATACCAAGAGTGGTCATCTACCTGTAGTCAAGGACAATCTCTACAGCAGAATCTGCTGTGGTAGTGAAGAACTGGAAATAAAGTGGGTACCCATTAATTAGGAAAAGACTAAACAAAATGGTACATGAATGTAAAAGAATACTGTTGCAAAGACTTATGAGGCGATACAGAAGAAAATGAGCACAACACATAGAGCAATGATCTACAGTAACCACTGCTGACTGGAAGTTGGATGACAAAGCTTGCCTCTCACCTGGAAGAAGCACATTTTTAAACATGGTCCAAGAACGCTTTTGTTTGGCTTCATTATGTTTATTATAGAAGCTTGTCTTGTAACAAATGTGTATAAGAAAGGGCTTCTATTGGGGGAGTGGGGTGTTAGTACTAATACAGGGGGAAAAAAAAGAAAAATAACACATTTTAAAACACAGACAAGGAATTGAAAGGGAAAAAACAGAGCAATTCTTTGTCTCCCTGACAGTACATAATCTCCTTCAGAATGGCTACTGTTTCATTCCTTATATATGTACGGCCAGTGTATATGGCACAGGGCCGGAAGGAGAAATGCTTGTTGATTAATACTACCTTGTGAAATTTAACATGTACTTTAAAAAAAACCAAGCTGTATGTAACACAAGTGCACAATTTCATATACAATCTTTTTGTTCAGCAAAAGCAATTCAGTACATAGACACAACGCAAACTCATACAGAGTAAGGTAATGTTGAGGTATGATGGGACACATGCCCAGCATCCTTGCTACTAAGGAGGCTAAAGATGGTGGACCACCTGAGTTATAAGCTGTACTAGGGCTTTAATTGATTAGACGCCCACACCAATATGGTGGGCCCCAGAAAGCAGGCTACCTAAGAACAGATGAAAAGACCTAGGTCAGAAATGGAGCAGCTAAAGGCTTCCATGCCAATCAGAAGTGGAGTTGGGGCCACAAAGGCCATTGCATTTTCAGATTGAGTGAGATAGGGAAACAGTCCACACCACCACCACCACACACACACATTCCTTCCCTCCTCCCAAAAAAGTTAATATATAGCAGAAACAATATTGATAAGTCAGGCAGAGTTGTGTCCTATTTCAGATGGCAATTATTTGTTGTGCCTCCTTTAAAATCTAGTGGGTACAACATACAGAGCAAGAAAACTACAGCTCAAAGCTTAATATAATCACATAGCCATAGTATTGTCTCCTGAGGGATGCCTGTGTTTTTTCTGTTGTGTCCATGACCTTTGACAGAAAGTGATAATATGGAAACCAACATGATTGTTTAAAAGAAACACTATTCTCCCCACATCTTTTCCTTATTCTTATTATTTACCCTCTTCTCCCCAACTTTCTGTAATAAAATATCTGCTAAGGTACATTCCAGTTGACTGACAACCCTAACAGTTCACAATGACTTAACTATGGTCACACACCATGTGTGGTAACAAAAAGGTCCAAGATACCTTTGACTATACCAACTCCACTGCTATGTCTTGAACAAGCCCAAGAGAAAAGTTCAACAAAGAGAGAGGGCTGAAGGTTTTCTAATAGTAAATAGGGAGGGAAAAAGCTTTAAAAGCAGGACTATGGAAAGACAGGGAGAGGATGTGGGAAGAGTAGATCCCATAAGGAACTAAGATTTTTAAATGGAAGTACCTACAAATGTAGATTAGGTTAACTTGACAGTAATCTTTTTTTTTAAACATCTCTCTGCCACATTTGAAGCCAAATGTATTACTCACAAATAGCTGATTCAGATTATTGTGTAAGTACAGAGTCAGCAGAGCTTGGGGTTATAAAAATGTGATTAATTCATCACTGTGTAAATAGATTCCTCTTCTTACATATCCTGACATGGGAGGAAAAACACAGTTGACGTTCCAACAGAGAGAATACGAAATGCTTACCGAATGGTCTCAATGATTTCATGAGCAGCATCATGATGTTTGTCCTACGAGGGGAAAAAAAAAAGGATCATTTTATTCAACCATCTTTTACCATGAGATTGATAGTCTTTAAAGTGGATTAACAGACAAAAAAGACCAAAAAAAAAAAGTGGAATAACAGAAAAAAGTATTCCAGGGAAAAGTACTTCCTGTCACACTAATGTGACCATCTTAAGTTATAATGACTATTATTATTATTATCATCAATGTGCACCTGCTGTCCAGCACCTCACCCAAATCAAATGGCTTTTTTCTTTATTTTCCTTACTCACTCTAGCAGAACTGAACATCTCTGAAAACCTTCCCTTTTTTAGTTTTTTTCTTGTTTCTGTATCACTCTCCTAATCTTGATCCTCTTCGTATCTTTCTAACTGCCACTTGTAACTCCTTCTCTAGTTCTTTCTCTTCCAAAGGCATAAATCCCAGGACTCACCAAGGCTCCATGTCCGTGGCCTCTACTCCCATTTCTTTATTTTCATTTCCTGGCCGTGTGGCCTATCAGCTTTGTCACCCAAATCTACACCTCCAGCTCTGACTACACCTGCAAACTTAAGTTCCATGTGTAATCTGCCTTGATATTTCCAAATGGTTGCTTTATTACATGCCCATGTGTCCAGGAGTCCATTCATCCCTCTCTTCTTTTCCTCAAACAAACTAGGATTTCTGGAAATCCATCAATGATCCCAACATTCTCTCATACGAAATACATTCTCTTAAGACAAATCTTAAGATTCCTCTTTAGTTTTTCCTTCTTCCTCCAGATCCAAATCAATGACAAGGACTAGTGGTACTTGCTGGATTTGTCACTGGCTTCCTTGCCAAATTCTCACTGCCACCACCTCAGTTCAGAACCTTAACATATCATGCCTAGATAAGGCAGTGAGTTACTAAAAAGAACGGTGGATTTGGAGTCAATGAACCTGGGTTCAAAGCCTGATTCTGCCACTTATTACTAGCGCAAGTGACTTTTCTTGTCAGTTTCATCATCTATAAAATGATCTGAAATCAGAAAGACACAAGCTCAAATCTGGCCTCAGATATTTACTAGCTTTGTGACCCTGAGTAAGTCACTTAACCTGTTTGCCTCAGTTTCCTCATATGTAAAATGGGGATAACAGAAGCACCTACCTCCAAAGGTTCATTTAAGGATCAAATGAGATACCTACCTGTAAAAGGCATAACACAGTGCCTGGCACATAATAAGCACTATGTGATTGTCCACTATTATTATCTATGAACAAATAATCTCATGTGAAACTAAGGCATTTTTGCTAGTATCATGAACTAATAATAACAGCTAGCCTGTAACAGTGCTTAAAGTTTGCAAAGCACTTTACATATGTTGTGTCATTTTATTGGCACAACCCTGTGAAACAGATGCTATCATCCCCATTTTACAAATAAGGAAACTGAAACTAAGAGAGACAAAATGTCTTGTCCAGTCACTCAGTAAGTGCCAGAGTCAGAATTCAAACTCAGGTCTTTTAACTCCAAATCTAACATTCTATCCACTGCACTACCTAGCTGCCTCATGTCATAGATAAACAAGGCAAGAATTTCCTGTTGATGGTGAAGCTCTATAAATGCTTCAGTCACAGGACGCTGAATTACCTGCAAACACCAAAAGCTTCCATAATGAAATCCACAATAACACATTAAAAAATCAATCTAATGAAAGAACAAAGTAGATAAAAATAGCTTACCCAGATGACAGCCTGTCAAATTAGTCTTATCAATAAGTGTATTTAGAACCAACACTGCAGACGAACAATGATCTTAGGTGCCCAGATTTGAATAAAAGATAAACAGATCAGGTTAGAATGCATTTGGGAAATCAATGCTTTCAACAATTCCAAACTATTCATGGTTGCAAAGCTCTGTCAATATTTTTTTTTTAAGGCAGTTGGGGTTAAGTGACTTGCCCAGGGTCACACAGCTAGTAAGTGTCAAGTGTTTGGTCTGAAACCACATTTGAACTCAGGTCCTCCTGACTTCAGGGCCGGTGCTCTATTCACTGCGCCACCTAGCTGCCCCTCAATATTCTCTTGATGATACAATTAATATGGTTACAAAGACTAGAAAACTATGATCTCAGAAGAATTATTATTACTGAAAACCCAAAGGGCAATGAAAAGACCCATGGTAAGCAAAGTTGGCCATAGCTGATGTCAAAGGAAACATGCACATAGACAAGGACATAGAACACCCTATCACGATAGAGGATAATGACAGCTCAGAGACGAAGAGATTTAGAGATGTTCAGGCTGACAGATGGACCTATACACAAGGGTATGAAAGCAAACTCTAAAACCCAGCAGCATTCCAACATCCCAAAGATACTAAAAGAACTGGAGCTGTGTTTCAAGCAGTTTCAGAAGAAATCAAAGCTATCAAGAGTCATATTAAAAAACGTTCTAGGGGCAGCTAGGTGGTACAATGGATAGAGCACCAGCCCTGGAGTCAGGAGGACCTGAGTTCAAATCCAGCCTCAGACACATAAACACTCAATAGCTGTGTGACTCTGGGCAAGTCACTTAACCCCAATTGCCTCACAAAAAAATAAAATATAAAACAAACCAAAAAAATGTTCTAAATCATTGTTGATTAGAGAAATGCAAATTAAAAAACTCTGAGGTACCACCTCACACCTATCAGATGGGCTAATATGACAGAAAAGGGAAATGACAAATGTTGGAGGGAATGTGGAAAAACTGAGACACTAATACACTGTTGGCAGAGTTGTGAACTGATCCAACCATTTTGTACAGCAATTTGGAACTATGCCCAAAGAGCCATCAAACCCTTTTAACCCAGCTATATCACTATTAGATCTTTATCCCACAGAGATCAAAGAAAAAAGGAAAAGAACTATACGTACAAAAAATATTTATAGTAGCTCTATTTTGTGATGGCAAAAAACTGGAAATTGAGGGGATGCCCTTCAATTGAGGAATGGCTTAACAAGCTGTGATATATGATTGTGATGGAATACTATGGTGCTATAAGAAATGACAAACAGGATACTTTCAGAAAAATCTGGGAAGACATATTAACTGATGACTAGTGCAAAGTGAAGTGAGCAGAACCAGAAGAACATTATACACAGTTAACAGCAATATTGTAATAATGATCAACTGTGAAAGACTTGGCTACTCTGATCAATACAATGATACAAGACAATTCCAAAGGAACCATGATTAAAAAAAAAAATGCTACCTGCCTCCAAAGGGAAAACTGATGAAGTGCAGATTGAGGCAGGTTCTGTATTTTTCTTTCTTTCTTTCTTCTTTTTTTGGGGGGGGAGGCTCAACATGGCTAATATGGAAATGTTTCGCATAACTTCACATGAATAACTGATATGGTATTGCTTGCCTTCTGAATGAGTGGGGGAGGGATTGGGAGGAGGGAGAGAATGTCACTAGAAACTTAAAAATAATCGATCAAAAATAAATGGATAATAAAGGGGGTGGGGAATGCCCTCCCCCTAGAGAAACTGTCCCAGAATAAGACACAGGAGACCAGTCACTATTTTTCCAATCCAGCCCTTCTTTGGAATATAAAAGCCTACCCTATGAAAAAGATTTTCTTACAGTTATGATGCATAACAGCATACAAGAATTAATCCTGTATCAGATCAATGAAGGCCACAGCTTTACTTTAAAGGCAAAAAATTAGGGGCAGCTAGGTGGCACAGTAGATAGAGCACCAGCCCTGAAGTCAGGAGGACCTGAGTTCAAATCCAGCCTCAGACAAAACACTTGACACTTACTAGTTGTGTGACCCTGGGCAAGTTACTTAACCCCAATTGCCTAGATAGAATAGAAAGAAAGATAGATAGATAAATGGCAAAAAAAAAATAAGCTCTGGACCTACAGTCCTGAACAGGGTTCACCTTTCCCAGCTAAAGAAAATGGACTACAGAGTTTCTGATTTCCACCCAATCCTGTGTAATCAAACAATTCCAACCTTGTATCTCAAGCAAAGCACTTCCAGCACCTAATAACTGAAATCCAAACATCCATCAAACGGTATTTCAGGCTGAGGTTGCCTGTGAAGTAGGCAGGGAAATTATTAACTCCACCCATTTCCTCCAGACTACACCTGGATCTTGCCTAAAGTCGTACTGTAGCACAAAATAGCAGGCCCCAACTGAAAACCCACCTAAAAAGGAAACTTTCAAATAGTCTCCAACAGGGAAGAACACTTAGTGCTATGATGCTCCTTTAATACTCAGGTCATCAACAAGAGAAAGTAGAGAACCAGAGGGGTCAGGTAACTAGCCCACATACACACAGAAAGTAAGGGCTAAAAGATGAATGAGAACAACAAGATTATAACAATAGTTTCTTAGTCAAAGGATTTTTCTACAATACTCATGCATGCAAAAAAACTACCAAATATAGGCATAGTGGGAATTTTTTTCAATGACAATTACCTCTCTAAAATCAAAATGCAGGATTATACCATGAGCAAATGCTTTTTTACCAACGAATACATAAGTCAAGCATGCCTCTTCCTCATTATTTGGCACAATTCTAGAAATTCTAATAACAACAAAACTTAATAAACAAAGGAAGCAAAAATGTCCTTATCTGCTATTAAGATGATGGTTTACTTAGAAAATCAAAGGTAATCAGAAACTAAAAATGAATAGCTTCAGCTAAGTTGCAGTCTACAAATTAAAATGATAATCAACAGCACTTTTATGTAATACCAAAATCCAGAATGCAATAAAATTCAAAATAAAAATGAAATGAAAATAATCTACCACATCCTAGCAAAGCACCCACAATCTCTATGAAGAACTTAAATAACTGGAGGACTATTTAATGCTCATAGCTAGGCTGCACAAACATAAAAATGAAAATACTACCTACATAAATTCACAGATAGAGTGACATGCCAATCAAAATTCTAAAGGGATACTATTCAGAGCTAGACAGATTTCATTTAAAGGAACAAGAGATCTAGAATATAAATGAAAATAATGAAAAAAAGGCAGGAG